TTCCTTCGGGTTGCGACCAATTCGGGTTGCAGCCAGAGTCACGGAACGAATTAAGTTCATATACCGAGGTTCCACTGTATTGCTCTTTACAAAAAGGAATGTATTGTGGGTTGTGAACTGATCCTGACAGTATGGGGTTGACATGTGTGGTAGAAACAATGAGTTCTAGAAATTTGAAAGTCTGGAAGCCAACTTTCCAGTGTAATTGGGTTTATTAAAAATGGCAATCCTATGGTGGTACAAGTTCTCAGAACTGAATTCTGTATATAGAATTGAAGATGTGATGACAAAAAAATGCAAATTAATTGCATGAGTACTACTGATGTTCCATTTAATTTGTCCCTGAGGAAAACTGACTTTGTAGTCTATGGCGGTATGCCTGTGCCTCCAGTCAGGGTAGCTTTTCATACAACTAGCAGCATTATAGCTCAGTCTGTCTTGCAGTTGGCTTGCATTGGAATGGAGATGATGATCAGGAGGGAGAATCATCTTCTTCATCACAGCAAAATGATGAGGCAGAAAGTTCTTCCAAGGAAGACTCACCTGTAAAACCTATGAAACATCCACCCAGCAAGCGAATAGCTGCAGCCAAGAAGGAACAAGAACCCCCTGTTCAGGAGCCAGCTCTGGTAAAGCTACACTCATGGCTAGAAAGAAACAATTAGATTTTAATGCATAAGTGGCCAACTTACAAGCCAATTCAACTGTTCTCCATAAAAAGAATAGTCTGAAAAATCACCAGAAGTTCTAGTCACTTCTCCCACTAGCCCGTTACCACTGGGAGCAGGAAACAACAATTTGATAATTGTCAATCAGCCTGATTCCTCACTTCCTGTTTCCTGGCTTTGCTAATGGCAGTGAGAAACTAGCAACCACTGATAGATTCTGTGAGGATTCCTTATAATTTCTTCCTCATTACTTCCAGTGAGTTGCTGAAGATTGCTGGTTTCTGTAGTGATACTAGCAATCTGTAAAGAGATGGCTCTTTCCTAGTGAACTTATTCAAGAAAAGCAAGTGTCTCTCAAAGATGAACAGGTTGTCCATCTTTTAGGAACTAGGATGAATGTCTTTCATTTAATATTCAGTCTATTGTCATATTTCAAAAGATGACAGGTAACTTGCACATAGGCCTAGCACCAGCTCCAACCTAAAGTGAATTTTACATTAATCTATCTGGTCCTAAAATACAGTATCCTCAAGTTTTTGGATAGTAAAGAACCTTCATGAAGGAAGCAGGAATTGGTTGGGTTTATGCACCATTCTAAGCTAAAAAAAAAATGGGTTTAAGTTAGCAAGCCAGCTAAAAATCCAGCTTCATTAAATGCTTATGGGTTGCATCTCTGGGTCCATGTAATTGTGAATGCCTTGGCTTTTTCCTACAGACAAAAAAAGGAAACAGAGGGAGAAAGCCTGTTGAAAAGGGGGAACTGCGGCTATAAATTCCCATGCAAGGTGAGATGTGGCTTCCTTGAACCCCTTTGATGGAGAAAAGAATAAGACACTTTTCAAATCCAAAGAGATTCTCCAGAGAACAAGGTGGTTCTTATATGTTTTCCACAAGGCATTCACTTACTGGATATATACATATCTATATGGGCACTTCATCCCTGAAGCAAAAACAGATACTGCAAGACCTTGCTTTCAAACCTATGCATTTCTGGAAATTTGAAGTCCTCTCTCCTAATGTAGAATGAAAGGCCATAAATGTTCTAGATCTAATGTGCACATGATCTACAAATGGTTAAGCCTCATTTTCTATTTCAGGAACTTTAAAAAGCCATTAGAAAATAAAATAAAATATAAAATAAAATATGTATCTTCCTCTACTTTTGTCTGTTCCATTCATTCTAAATGTATATGACCAGTATGACAAGTTGGCAAGATGAGCTAAAAAATAGGAAGAAAGTAATGGAAGAGAATTAAAGAATAGTATAAACCAGAGATTTGGAGGAAGTATAGACTGATATACTTGGAAAGTGATTCAGATAGGTCAGTATTTTCTTATAAAGGAATTAAATATTCACATCAATATGCTTTGTGGCTTTTTTTAAGGGAGGGCAAGTTTTGGGAAAGATTGAAGTAAACATTTTTATGTTTTTGAATGGAAAGTGCTAGGATTTCAGCCACAGTAGGAATTAGGAGGGTAACGTAGAAGTATTTATTTCTTACACTTCATTCTGGGTATGCAGAATTGTGCCTACATAATGGCTTAAAAATTCAGACAATGGTTGCATTCATACATGCTTAACTACACTTTTTTTTTCAAATATTTTTGAACAAGCTGTTATGCCTTTGTTTCTATATAGAGCAGTGTTTTTCCACCTCGGCAACTTTAAGATGGGTGGACTTCAACTCCCAGAATTCCCCAGCCAGCTGGCTGAGGAATTCTGGGAGTTGAAGTCCACCCATCTGAAAGCTGCCAAGGTGGAGAAACACTGATATAGAGGAAGGGAGGGGTGTGCATCAATAAGGTCATGATTTAGTCTTTTCTGGCTATGGACTGCATAACTATGTGCCAGGAGCTTGGATCCATTAAAAAATCAGAACTTGCACAAGAAAAGGTGATGCAATTTAAACACCGTAAAATTATACTTAAATATGTTTGTTCTCCATGTATAGTATAGCTGCTTATTCTGTCATATAAAATTTTCAATTTTATGGCAGCTTTATGAGTGGCTATGAGGACACACCCAAAGGAGTCCTGTGATCCTGAACTGGTTATAAAACATGCTTTACAAATGACAACATGCCAGTCCAAAATCAAACACATAACTTAAGATTTAGATCAATGTATGAACTTAGTTGATGTTCAGCAAGCCTCAGTCTTCAATCTTTAGTTACAATTATTCCTTTGACCAGTGATAGAAGATAAGCCAAGATTTCCTCTCTATGAAGCCCTGTGGTACATTTCTTTCCCCAGTGTTATCAAAGCATGGCCACAAAACTCTACTGAAATGTCCATCATCCCTGTTTTACTATTTCTGAATCATTCTATGGATCCTTTATAACTTACTGTATCACTTGCTGTCACCATTGGAATATGGGCTTCTTCCAGAGCAGATAGCTATTAAGGAATATTCCAACTCTCCCTGGTTGTCTTCTCTATCCCGATTAACATCTCCTTTTCCTTCCATTATCTAGGTACCTTCATTATGTGATGGATGAATGTCAACAGCTGAGCTAGTTTGACTTGCATAGTTCATTATGTAATGCCCCAAACTGAAGAGCCACTATTTCATAGCTGGATATTTTCTGTGGCTTGAGTTCTTCGCTTTCTACATCCACAAATAAACAGTAAAAAGGGCTATGCAAAACCTCCCAAATTCTTGAAGAAATTGACTTCATGTAATCCTTTCGATCCACTAAATTAGAAATGTTGGCTCTGCTAATGATTCTACTATCAATTCCCTGGCTGTACCTGGTAACCAAATATATCCCCAACCCAGATGGCCCCATCTTTGATCTAAAAGAAGCTGCCTAGAGACTTTGAAGTTTCAATCAAATAATCAGTATGTGATTACATAGTGAATACTATGCTGAGTTTCACTGTTATTGTTCAAGAGCAGGGATGCAAATTTCTGGAGTTAGAAGGCCATCATATGGCATGAACCATTGTGCAGAAATTGCTTAGCAGTCCAGATATCAGAGCAGATTGGGAGCTCACTCCTTTTCTTTCCACTCTGTTTTTCCATCCTCCAACTTTTTCTCAGGCATTGCAGAAATTTCGGTGAGCACAGCAGGTGATAATTTGAGTGATATTCTGATCTTGTGGTGCTTCGTAGGTGTTAATACAGTTGGGGGTACAGCCTAGGAAAACAAAGAGAGGGATCCTACCTGTGAAGCGAGGGAAATAAATAACTTTAAAAGAATTGTGTGTTTAAGGACAACTCTTTCCCCTTTGTATAGTTTTGTCTTTTGATACCAATTTAGGAACCTTAACAGCCACTTTTATACCATTATGTGAAGAGGAGAATCATTGCTGTATTGTTGGTGGGTCTTCAGCAGCCCTCAATCCTTAAAAAGTGCATGATGTGGGTGCACTAACAAGTCATTCTCACTGCATCGTAATGAATTCTTTCTATTTTTTTGAAGGCAGGGATGGACAATGTTTTACAACCTTGACTCCAACTTACAATTTAACTCATGATTTCTGAATGTGCAAGGTTTATCAAAGTGTAGTTTCTTACTTTCGGTACCACTTGCCATTGTTGCATAGAAAAAAAAATTGTCCAAAGGAATTATTTTAATTATTGCTTTATCTACCTCAGAAGAAAATTGTAGAATTTATGTTGTAAGTCAATAGTTCTCAACTCAGTGGTGTGCATGCCACAAATAGGATTCAGAAGGGGGGGGGGTTTTAAAGGAAGGGAACACAGCATAAATAATTGAAACGTGAAGTCTTCACAACATATTTTAAATGATAAAATCAGTCATAGAAAGCCTGCACACATATATATGACCTTCTTGGGAAATAAGCTTTTATTTCTATCTTGGTGAGACCCAGGTTTCTTGACATTTGACAGAGGTATTGGCAAGATGGGATATACAAAAAATTAACTATGGATAAATTAACTCTGGTCACGTACCAAAATAGATTGCCTTCTTATAGCAAGCCTGCCCAATGTACAGGTTGCAAGGACGTTGCCAGGTGATACAATTTCCGTATGGTTTCTTGAACAGGCAGTTGTGGCATTTGATGCCAACAACTTGGGAGAGAAATAAAAAAGAGAAAATAATGAATAGCAAAATACAGGTTGTCCCAAGCTGGATATGACCACAGGAGCAAACACACAACTTATTATTAAATGCTTGTAATATCAGCCTATTACTGAAAACTATAGTTGAATAATACCTTTCTCAGAACAACTAAAATGGATCCAGCTCTGGAAATGCAATGCTCTTACTTTCTGGTCTATTTCTTTTCTTCTGTGTGAATTCTGAGCTTCATGTTTTGAGAAGTTGTGGGAGAGTAATAACTTTTATTTGCCCTGGAATGATGTTACTTTACCCCAGGAATCCCTACTATTGACAAATACATTCAGTCTGTAGTCTCTGCCTTCACTTTCTACATAGCTGAAATATCTCACCTGGTTTTGAGGCCACCTTCCCTTTTTCACAGCATGAAAGAATTCTGGGAACCTTGAAAGTTTGCACACTATTTTTTGTCTTTTTCATTGGCATCACTGTTCAACTATGAGTTTGGGTTATTTTGGTTTTTATACCTTATTATATAGAGATCAAGAAGAAGGAAGATAAATCTAACGTATAAAGAGAAGTCCTTGGAAGATGAACACCTGGAAAACTGCCTTCACATCAGAACTTGCAGCCATGTAGAATCCTTCTGTGTGAATGTGTGTATAAATGATAAAAAGAAGCTATTTGCAGGCTCTCAGGCCAAGGTAGTTTATGTCCCCTTACTAATTTTGTATTGCATTTACAAGTAGTCCCCAGTTTAAGAATGAGTTCCGTTCCCAAGGTTTGTCCTTAAGTCAAATTTGTATGTAAGCCAGAACAGCATTATTGTATCATCATCATCATCATCATTTAAGTAGTATTGTGTAATTTAACTCGAATCATTGTGTATTTAACTCGAATTTTGCTACAACAGGCTCTGTTCTTAACTATGGGCCGTCTGTAACCCAGGGACTACCTGCATATCTTATATTTTCTCTGGAAGACTCAGCATTTTATTTTGTTTTTACTTTACTAAACTTAAAAAGTAATAACTACATCATGGTAAATAATATTCCCTTATAATAGCCATTTTTTTCGGCTTTTTTATTCTATGGTGTAGGATGGCTGTAGGTTTGGCAGATCAAGAGACAGTAGCTACAAGAGACAACAAGTGAAGTAACACCATCCAGTCCAATACACACATCTCCCTTTTGTGCTTTCTTAAGCAGACCTGGTCAACAGCCTCAAATCATTCTGGAGACTTACCCAGCTCAATGGAGAGGAATATCCATAACCCAACATGGAGAAGTGTTTTCATGTCCCCTTCTTTGTACCCCAAGTTAAGACAATGCGATACCACTCCCTTTCTGAATTTATATCCACCCTGCAAATCAGATGTGGGATGCAGTTAGCTTCTAGAAGACATACCTTTTCATTTTGCCTGGATGAATGCACCCAGGCACATCACTCTGATCAGCTCCACCTCTCCCCAAGAGGTCCAGTGTTCCTAGTTCATTTGAGCTGATCAGCCCATGAAAGAAGGGCAGGGACAAATGAGCCTTGGGTTGGATCTGGTTTTCCTACTCCCAGCCTTGGTATTTTCATCTGATGATCTGTACAGCACGTATGCATGTGTAAGTGGTACATGTGTAGGCTGTCTTCAAGCAACCTGTACCCTTTCTGTGGCACAGATGGGGACCCTTTGTCCATGGAATCTCTGCTTAGCCTTTTCTGCCCTTGAGGAATCAGATGAATTTGCAGATATTGGACATGGGCAGAAAAGAGTAGACCTTGATCTGTACACTTCTTAAAGTCTATCCGATACCATTTCACTTCCATTCCACCTGCCTCAATGCGGGGTCCAGACTGCTGGTAGCCTTGATCTCAGGCTTCTGCTGATAAATGCCAGGTCCTTCCATAATACGACCATGTTTATCCATGATTTTGTAGTGAATAACAAGTAGACATGTGAATCTAATATATATTACCGAAACCTGGCTGGAGAGGACAGCAATAATGTTCTCCTTGAAATTTGCCTCCTGGGTTTTGGATTCTATATCAACCACTGAAGAGGAGTTGGGACCATCTTGGGATCTTG